AGATACCGTTGGCACATCCTTGGATTGAGATTGGAAGCGAAAAGTCTGGTAGCCTGATACATAGCTGCAGCGCTCCAACCGTCGGGATCGGTCAAACTAACATGCAACATAAGAAGCAAATTTTGAAAAATACTTCTTTCACTCACTAAAGTATTTGTTCCCAATTCACCATCTTTGGTATGACTTTGAATGCCTTTGGTATTTTTCCACTTCTATATTTAGCCAAAACTTTGCCAATTTCCTTGTACATTTCAACAACTTCTGGATCAAGATCTCTTATCTAAATGACTATTTTCAAGATTAAAGCAGATACGGAAAAAGGACAACGCACATTGAATTCATTTGGATCTACACTGCTTAGGGCCAGTTCTGCATCATCTGTTTTTGCATCGATTTTAGCGCGAATTATATCATAAAGCGTTTTGGCACCGCTGTCTTTGTTAACCATGAAACGTTCCAAATCGGCTTCATCCTTCGGATCCAATGCCTTGAAGGGAGATTAACCTATTGCAACTCACAGTTTGTTCTTATAGGAGAAACCTACAATGACTTGGTCTTCGTAGCCGTCGTCTTCCTCTGGAAAATCATCGCCTTCAGAATCGTCTTCGTTGATACCTCCTAAGCTTACATTGCGCATCCTTAAACAACTTCAGGTGGACCAAGAAACAATTCATGATCGAATAGTGCTACGAGTTCAAATATACATAAAAAATGTGTTGTGGTTCAATATGCCATGAAAGCAGCATAAGCAGCATCGCCAGCAGTGTTACATGCAGTCTTTCATAAAAGAATGCAATAGTAGTCTAAGAGCGCTCTTAATAGAGCAGCCTTATTAATTCTTACAGCTTAATACGTTGCTGATTATGCGCTGAAATTTCAATCGAATCTTTGAGATAACGAAATAGTATTAAAAATGTTCACATCTTCTTAAGGTGATAGAAAATACAAAAAAATATGTGAAAGCACCTTTTGTTTGCTTCAACTTCCACAGTTCCATCTTCAGTTTCGATGTCATTAAGTTGCTTCTTGGCTTGTGAGATAATCTTTTCAGAAAGAGTATTTGGTATATACTGAAAATAATTTTCATCTCAGCACTAACAACTCTAAGCGATAATGCAAGAAAACTCAAATTCCTCCAACTGGTATTCTGAGGATTTCAGGGAAAAAGCTAAAAAGCCAATACTTTTTCTATCCAAGATGCTAGTATCACACCCTCGTGTACCGATGGAGACGGCAATATCGTAAAATTTATAACTATAGTAAGCAAAAAAGCATTACCACTAACGAATAATTTTTTCAGTTCCTGGTAAATGAAATGGATAAGTTTAGAAGCAAAATAACAACACCTCTTCAGCTTCCTGCTCAACTTTGCGCTTTCGTTTAGCTCGTTCTTCTGAGCGAGCCTTTGCTATCCGTGAGCCTTCGATTTGTTGTTCCAAAGGTCCAGGAATTGGTATGAGATCTCCTTTGGCTGACTTTTGTATCGCACTTTTCTTGCCCATTTCTAACGCTTCTAAACAATGTGCGTAGATGAACAATATTAACAAGGTCCATAACCAATAATCAAGGACTATGAAATAGTAAAATATTATAGCATAACAATAAAAATGAAGCTTTTTAGAAAAAAGTGCTCCTTTTTCGCTGGATTCGTGAAAGGAACACATTTGCGTGCAGCTGCGGTCAATATCAACCTATTAAAACTCCGTCACTTGTTTCGCTTCTTATCCACCAACAAGGAAAGAAGGAACAAGTAATTAGCGCTACCAAAACTGAGCATTTCTTGCCATCGAGATTACTGCATAGCACATTTCTGTCTAAGTTTTCAAAATTAAGTCATAACGCCGATTAGCGGTGGAATCAGGAGTTGGGTAGCAACCATTTGACGAAGAACGTTTGTTAATCAAGAGGAAAGCGGTGAATAGAGAGATAAACTCTATTGTGCTGTGAAAATCCTCTTGATATGCTCAGGGTGTGCCACTACTTGTACCAGAAAATTTTTGTAAAAAGCACTACTTCCTGATAATTTTCTGCGTCCCTTTTTGCCTAAACAAAATGGAGGAAAGATTCCTTATTTATGGCTAAAAAGACACCTTGAAAAGGTAGTGCCGC